GATTCTGTTCAAATTTCTTGATTCTAAAATATTATGTTAATTAGAATCATTAAAAGATAAATTAAGAGCCTTTTGTTGATTGATATGATGTAACTTGACAATTGTGTAAAGGCATAATTTAATATACTAACTAGCGTTTATAAAAGGAGCATCTCAATGCTTATTTGAACTTTCTTATCTTCTCTGCTTATAAGATATTGTTGTATAATGATGTCTAACCAATCTGTTAAAAAAGCACGTACAGCAGTTAGCGATAGCCTAAAATGTGATATTTGTAAATACCATATAAAAAATTCTAATAAACTACAAATTCAAATTGCTAAACACTTTAATGCCCAAACTTTTTTAGTAGCATTCTTGTTCATAACTCTTGGCAGACATTCGTATAATTGGCTATTTAAATCAATTTAATTTTAGATTATTTATACAGTTTAAAGTACCTTTTTTAAAAAAAAAAGACTATGAAGAATATACAAAAAAAAAGGATATAGAAAGTTTTATTAGGGTTGTAGAACTCCACTATCAAAAATAATCAAAATTCTTTTTTTGTTTTAGAGAAGTTAGCATAATAGCGACTTCTTAAAAATAGATTATCATTATGTCAATTTCTCTAAAGCAAAAAAGAAATTAATTATTTTTAATATGGAGTCCTACAACCTTAATAAAACTTTCTATATCCTTCTTTTTTGTATATTCTTCGTAGTTTTCTTTTTTTTTAAAAAGTACTTTTAACTGTATAAATAATCTAAAATTAAATTGATTTAAACAGCCAATTATACAAATATCCATCTATGAACTCTAACATGTTATACATGTCATAGAGATTAATAAAGTTCTAGACTAATTAAAAATATGGCAGGCATGAAAATAAATCGAATACTAAATGAAAAATCATTTAGGAAATGGGCTAGAAAAACTTTTTTGGTATTAGTTATCGAAGAAGTTTTTCTAGTCCATTCCCTATTTATCATTTAATATAATCAGGTATTGGATAATTAAATGCAAAGATTTCTAATTTTATGATATTTATTGATTCTGTTCAAATTTCTTGATTCTAAAATATTATGTTAATTAGAATCATTAAAAGATAAATTAAGAGCCTTTTGTTGATTGATATAATGTAACTTGACAATTGTGTAAAGGCATAATTTAATATACAAACTAGTGTTTATAAAAGGAGTATCTCTATACTTATTTGAACTTTCTTATCTTCTCTGCTTATAAGATATTGTTGTATAATGATATCTAACCAATTTGTTAAAAAAGCACATACAGCAGTTAGCGATAGCCTAAAATGTGATATTTGTAAATACTATATAAAAAATCCTAATAAAACACAAATTCAAATTGCTAAACACTTTAATGCCCAAAATCCCAAACTGAATCTTGAGCGTTCAACTATCTCTAAAATCCTCAAAGAACAAGATAAATGGTTGGCTATTGTTAAGAATCAAATAACTTCAGAAACTTTTCATTATAAAAAAGTAAAATTTCTATTGTTAGACCAAGCTATGAGGCTATAGATCGAGCAGGTTGTTAATAAGGGGTTGTTTTTGACCAAAGCAATCATTAAAGAAAAGGCTGCTTATTTTGTTAAAGCTCTTTCATTATCTAATAATGAGCTGAAATTTTTAAATGGTTGGATTAGGCAATTTAAAAAACAAAATGGTTTGCGAAATTTTTAATTGTATGGGGAAGCCGGCAGTGTTTCAACCAATAAACTTCTAGAATTCTGATGAAACTTGCGAAATGTTATTTAAAGATATGCATTAAAAGATGTATTTAATACCGACGAGACATGATTATTTTTTCACATGACACCAAATCAAATGTTGGCATCTCGATCTCATCCAGGATTGAAAAAAGAAAGTAGTTTGTTATTTTATTGTTTATTTAAATCTGATAATTTATAAAAAAAATAAATATGTAAATATGAAGATAAATAAATAAAATTTAAATTAAAAGTTTAGACTATTAATATTTAATAATCTAATTAAATTATTTTAAAATTTAACAACTTTAGAATTGTACTCATATCTCTATTCTTTTAGCATGCAATGCAACTAGTACTGAAAAAATAATGCCTCTTGTAATAGGATTTTCAATTGAACCACGTGCATTGTCTGGTATAAATCATGCTACACTACCAGTAACATACTGTGCTAATTTAAAGGCATAGATAAGAAGTGAAATATTTGGTGAATGGTTAAAAGAACTTGACCAAAAATTTCGCATTGAAAATTGAAAAGTTTTACTTTTACTTGATAATATTCTAATGAGGAGCCTAGCTGTGGTGATTCTGAAAAAATATATCCTACTGTATCAAATAACAACAAAAGCAGTCGCAGTCATGGTCGCAGTCATGGTCGCAGTAGTGGTCACAGTCGTAGTCACTATCGTAGTTACCCAAAAGCAGATAATATTACCCAAAATGACCAACAAAGTTGTACTGTTCGACATAGCAAAGGCAAATGTGGTAGAAGTCGATCTAGTGTTTATACACTTCCTGATGTATCTAACTATAATCCAACAAATATTCAAGTTAAATTTTTGCTAGCTAATACTACCTCGCATCTTCAACCTATGGATGCAGGGATCATTAAATACTTCAAGACAAAATATCAAAAAAGATACATTCAACATATTCTGGATCATTTCAAAAATGAACTAGATATTTGAGATCCTGAGTAAATTTATTGTTTAATTAAAATTAAATATTAGGGGTTCAGTACTAAGATTTAGACTTCTGATTTTGAATTAAATTTGTAATGCATTTATTTTAAAATTAGTGATCTATAATTATAAAATATTAGTTAAGTAATAATAAATATTATAAATTTTTTTTGTCAGAGCAAGTGGTTGGTTAAAATGTGCTGCTATGCAGCATATTTCAGCTAAATATTTATTCTGACAAAACATTTTTATGTTATTTATTATCACTTAACTAATATTAATATTATTATGCAATTATGTCGATTTACAAGTTATTATTAGCTAACTGAGTATACTTTTACAATTGTAAATATTTTTAAATTCTATTACTAATCATCAAAAAATAGATTTTTATTTTACCTTTAGATAACTTTAAATCAAAAATACGACATTTCAATTTCTCACTTACTTTCAAAATAAATTAATTCGGAAACCCTCTACTATATTAGAGTGCCTAGACTTAAGTATTTTGGAAATTTATTATTGTTCAAATAACAAAAATTACCAAAATTATACAAGTCACTCTATATGGGATTCCACCAACTCATCGACATTCACTTTATAGACATCATATTTTTACTAACAATTACTTATCGACAAGTTCATTTAATCGACAGTTTATTTGACCAAAGCTCATTTTATAACCAAAGTAATTCTGGTTAATATTATTGGTGTTGGGTAAGAACTAGAGTTAAAGTTAGTGTAATTTGTAAAAAAAAACTTGTTAGTGAAATAAACTTTGGTGAAATAGACTGTCGGTAAAATGAACTTGTCAATGAATAATTGTCTGTAAATGTGGTGTTTATGAAGTGATTGTTGGTGAAGCAATACAGGCCCCTCTATTCTATATAATCTTTAAAGATTAATTTTTTTTTATTAGAAATAAATTGACCATTAAAGATGCAATTAATTATGTGGCGGCTTCATGGAATGAAGTTGATAAATTAACAATGGCAAATTGTTGGACAAAGACTAGTATTTTGCCGATAGTACTGGATGATAATGTTGAACTTTCGCATAATACATATTTAGAAACAATTGAGTCTGAAGAAAATGAAATATATGAATTAGTAATTGATCTTACTGATTAAACAGTTTTACAAGAAATAGATGCTTATATCAAGGTTAATAATTCCTATATTTCTACAGAAGAAGTACTTGATGACAATCAAATTATTGAAACTATATTAGCAAAGCAATTAGAATATAAGCAAGGTGATCCAGATGACTCCAATGAAGAGCCATCAAAAATTTCTCCTGCTGAAGGATTAAATGGGTTAAAAACTTTCATTTTATTCACTGAACAAATGGACAATAATTTTTTCTCCAATAATAATAATCTAGCAGTATTTCGAAAGTATATACCATCAGTGAAAAGAAAAATTACAGAGTCTATGAAGCAGAAATTTATTAAAGATTTTTTTAAAAGTAATCAAACTATGTCTTTTAATAATGAATATTCTCTTTCTGATGACAACAATAACTCTTCTGACAATAACTTCCCTGATGATGACTTCTCTGATAATGACTTCCCCGATAATGACTTCCCTAATAATGACTTCCCTGATAATGACTTCCCTAATGATGACTTCTCTAATTATGACTTCTCTGATAATGACTTCTCTGACAATGACTTTTCTGATGATGACTTTCCTGATAATAACTTTCTTAATAACATTTCTAGCAATGATGATGACTTTTCTAATGATGACTTGTGATAACGATTTTTTTATTCTGTATGTTGTAAGGGTCGAATTTGGTGTAGCATAACCCGAACTTGGGCTGTGCAAATATTTTTTTTTCTTCTTTTTATCCTATTACGTAGTATTTTTTTTTATTTTTTGTATATTTTATTATATATCTTTTCTATTTTTAGTTATCTCAGTTTGGATTTCCAATTATAGTTAAAATCAACTCCATGGAATCGATGGAATCCATTTTGTCAAATTTTAGTCTGAAAAATGCATTATATAAAGAGCCTTTGTCTCATTTGAAATAAAGATAGCCTATTAAAGTTTTAAACTTCAAAATCATCATAGTATAAGTTGTTCCTTTACCAATTGACCCCAAAATCGCTTCAATAAACCCAAGTTCTGTCCCAATAGTAGTAATTTAGAAGTAGTGTCATTCAATAAAACAAGTAGTGAAAGTAAAAAGACCTTATTTGAAATACCTGACCTTATTTAGATACTAATCATTCTCATAATGCATTGTTATTATAACAATCAAACTATTACATATTAATTGCTTTAATCAGCCAAATTACCTGTGACATCAGAATCTCGTGATATCAATCATATCTCGAAAATTCTATCTTTTCTCATAATGTAAATCTGGTGATCTCAGATCCAAATCGAATATTAAACTTCCGATCAATATAGGTAATTATGACTATGTAACACGTGATACTAAAAGATCGAAATAGAAGAATTGGAGTTAGTATTAATAATATCAGTCACAATAGAGACATATTATAAGCCCAAATAATTAGAAAACTTATCTAAACCTGCAATATCACTATAAGACCCCAAAAAGCTCTAGAACTCAGACCAAGTCTTTCTACACCTCTCTTTGAAGCCTACTACTTAAGAGCTTTGGATTGTTTAGACTTGTGTGATAGCTAGATAGTTAGTTTTGTGCATATTTTGGTAGTTAGCACCTTCTCAACATTCTCCTGATAACTATAACAGTTTTACCAATATTCATGAAAATAAAAGAAACTAGCTTCAGATTCTTGGTCAGACCTATAATATCTCTAACACAGTATATATCAGCAATCTAGAAAGATAGTAAAAGCTTTGTCAAAGCTAATGATATCTGACGAATGAATAGTTTTAACTAGACAAAAGCAACTTCAATTTGACAAATAAAGAATGATGAAATATAAATTTTATATACAAATGTAAGAAAAGTTTTGAAAAAGTGATTTATCCTTCAGATAGCATTGAAAACTAGTTAATGAAAATTAATTAACCATGCGATCTTAATTTTTTTTTGTTTATATTTATTTTTTTTTTTTGACATCTTTATCTGAAATTATCTGATGATTTACATTACTCACCTAGAGATTTTCAATCAAAAAATATTGATGAAACTTTATAAGAAATAACTAAAATTTTTATAAAAATTTAAGATTCAAAATATCCAGATATGTTATAGAGGGGTCTGTATTGTTTCACCAACAATCACTTCATAGACACCACATTTTACAGACAATTATTCATCGACAAGTTCATTTTACCGACAGTCTATTTCACCAAAGTTCATTTCACTAACAAGTTTTTTTTTTACAAATTACACTAACTTTAATTCTAGTTCTAACCTAACTCTAATGATATTGACCAGATTACTTTGTCTATAAAATAAGCTTTGGTCAAATAAACTGTTGATAAAATAAACTTGTTGGTAAGTAATTGTCAGTGAAATGTGGTGTTTACGAAGTAATTAAATTAATTCCATCAAGAAATTCATCAATTGTCTGTCAAGATTTTATCAGATGAAACCATATATGAAACCATTTCATCTATGTAAAAATACTTTTGTCGGGCATCATTAGTTGAAGCTAGAGATGGGAAAAATGAGCATTTTATAATAACATGCGCATGAATGCATATTAATGCGCACATTATATAAAATGCGCATAATATTACATGATATAATTTTTTTGTTTTATATTTCCTCTCTGGAAAATATCAGATATTTGCCAAATTTTTTTTCTGTCACTTTTCATCTTTATGTTCATTCATTTTCTTTTCAGAATTTTTCTCTGGCATTATACACCTTGGCTTAAATTAAATATACTTTAATTTTCTTATACAAAATTAGATAGGATAAAATGCGCATGATTCTGAATCATGTGTATTAATGCGCACGATTGAGGAATCATGTGCATGCATGAAACCCATCTCTAGTCAAAGCCATAAAACCTGTGAAATACTTATTGAAAATAACAAGAAACACATTGGCAAATGCAGTAAGTATGCGAAATATAGTATCAAAATATTAGAATAGAATTTAGCGTAGGTAGTTCTATAGAAGTTAGTGTAAATTTTAATGTGGTAAATATATTCTTGTAAATTAAAAATTACTAAAAAACTATTACGATAGTTAATATATTTGTTTTAATGTGATTATATAGAATTAAATTATTATATATATATTTTTATTTATACTATATTTGTGTGATTTTTTTTTTTTTTTTTCCTTTGATAACCGCGTACTAAAATTTTATTAAATATATAATACTCAATACAAGACCAAGCTATCTAATAGGTAATTAGACTAAAAGCCAGCTGTCTCTTAAAAATGCCCAACTTTGGTTATCGCACTGATGTTAATCACTATACCCCATATATGGTGTGCTGCATTTAAAGATATAGTCTAGCCGGGGCTTAGCTCCCACCTCAGGACCTTTTTTTTCTTATAATTCTTCCTTCTTCTCAAGGGACATGAGACAAAAGGAGAAAAAGTTTAAAACAAAAACAAATACGAAAAAGACCAAAAAAGAAAAACAAACAAAAAGAAAAAATAAACACAGAT